TAAGAGAAGACATAGTTGTGGGGTTAACTAAAAGGATTTTATTAATGATTAAACAATAATCAAATTGTAATTAATTGATGATTGAAAGAAAATCAAACGCTAATCAAATTATTATTAAGGAATAATTGAATGTTAATTAAACAACGATTTAACAATGATCTGAAAATTATTTAAATGATTTAAATTATAATTTAGACCCTGATTAGATGTTGATTTAGACGATAATTTAGACATTTAGACAGAGTCAAACATGCTACTACTTACTACACTTCTAATAATTAAGCTATAGCGGGATGTATGAATGTTGCTAGCATACAATATACCTTTAGGCGTAATGTAAAATGTTGCTTACCTCGTTATAGACATGTTATATTTGTGTGTTAACGAATACTAGCCATTGCCTCTACGCTAACAAAGCCAAACAAATCGACTATGCAGTGAATGTTATTCAGCAACATGTCCACTAAATAGCCCAAGAGCAGCCCCTGCCCGCGGTTTGGCCAGGTGGCCAGCCAGGGTCATCGTCTTGGCTGCCAGACCACAGAACATGGGCATGGCGCTTCTCTATGACATTAGCTCTTGTCCTAGCTGTAGGATTCGTGCTTTTCTGTAGTTTATCTGTCTTGTGTCAAAGCACTATCAAAGTCTGTGTCACTCATCCAAAGCAGTAGTGTACCCTCGTGTCTCAACCAACAAACCCTCTCAGGAGCTGCAACAACATTGGGCCTAACATGGACATGTCTCCTCCGCCTCACACATTAGGAGGCAAGAGAGACGCACCAGACAGGGTGTAGTCTCACTCCTAGTGACCCATCAGTGGCTGTAGGCCAAGGGGTGGAGTGATGGGAGCAGCCCCAAAGGCGACCTGGTTGTTAAGGGGGAAAATAAATATTGAACAGAAGATGACCTCTGCTCAAATACTGGCAGATAAAATGCCGGCCAGCCTGGGAACCAGAAGCATCCTTGAGGAGTGCAGCTGGCATTTTTGAAGTGCAGCTGGATACCAAGAAACCAGAGATATCCTGAGGTACCATTGATGCAAAGTGCAAAAACAAGGAACTGTAACAGCAACTTATCATCTTGGCAAAGTGAAGAAACATCCAGAAAAAGAGGGAAACATCCTGAAGAAAGAAGAGATGGTAACTGCTATTGGCTAAGTCACAGAAGAGAAAAACAGTCTGATAAAACAAAAATTGGCCTGAGAGAATAGCGAACATCATCTTTTATTGACTGTGCCAGGTGAAAAGTAGAAGTTAGCAGCATCTATTGGTGGTGTCCTACGCCCCTTTGTATCTCTGTGGTATAAAATGAACTGACTTTTTACCCAAAATGGAACCTCTTTCTCTGAGAAGTGCCTGTGCATGAACCCCGGTTCCCCATGAGTTTTCCTTGGCAGAGTGGACCCTCGCCAGGGACGCCTGGCTGACTCTAGGCTCCGTGATGCGGATCATCATCCAAGTGAGACTGTCCAGTGTCAATTGGCCCCACTTCTGGGATGGGTTTGATGACCACTTGGTAACGGTAACACTTTTTTTATACATATATATGTGTGTGTGTATACATATACACACATACGTATATATATAGGCACACATAGAATCATAGAATCATTTAGGTTGGAAAAGACCTTTAAGATCATCAAGACCAACCATAAACCTAGCACTGCAAAGTCCACCACTAAACCATGTCCCCAAGCGCCACATCTGGACAGTCTTTTAAATACCTCCAGGGATGGTGACTCAACCACTTCCTGGGGCAGCCTGTTCCAGTGCTTGGCAACCCTTTCAGTGAAGAAATTATTCCTAATATCCAATCTAAACCTTCCCTGGTGCAACTTCAGGCCATTTCCTCTTGTTCTAAATAGTAATCACTCAAGTATATTTGTTGCTTTACTAGTGGTAATTCTGTAGTAACTTGTAAAATTGAAATACATACTTGCTAGTAATATTCATTGCTGCTAATATTGATTTCTGCTGCTGTTGATATATGTATTTGCTTTACAGTAGTAATTTGTAGTATGGATAGACTTGTTTTGCTAATCATACTTGCCTTGAGAGTGGTAACCTGCAATAAAGTAATTTAGGAAATAAAGCCTCTGTGACCTTGTGCACGACCGAGTCCTGCGAACCTTTGCCGACCCGCAGGCTGGGTAACCCTTCTGGGTTGTGACAGCCCAAATGGAGAAGTTTCTGTTGGGCTGCCTCAGTGGACATCAGCACTGACTACTGGGCATGGAGAAAGGGATAGGACGAAATAAAACCCTCTGTCTCTGTTGTATTGTTTTGACATTTTGCAGGCCGGCAGTGAAAAGGAGGTAGAGGAACAACAGCCATTTCCAGTTCAACGTGTGTTCAGATACAGGGATGATGCTAGGATGTAAGGGCCAGGAGATGCTCCTACCATTGGCCTTGACTTTTCCCAAGACATGGTACGATGCTCTTTAGAGCTTTTCTGCCCGGAAACACCAGCGCACAGGGAGAACGTGCTGGTGAGCCCCAGCCCCAGTGGCCATTGCAGCAGCAGCCGCCAGCTGTGGCTGGGGAAACAGGAGGAGCTGATGTCGCAATGGCATCCGGATTCCAGCTTGGCCATACAAGTGCTGACGTTTTTCCATCACATGTGACCCGTTGATGCCTTCTGCTGGAGTTTTCATTCAGGAATGCTAGCTGTGGTCAGGCTGCCTGTGTTTACAGACACAAATAAACTGCCTGCTGACTGAAATACACCATTCCCATGACTGCCCTTGGCTCTAACCTTGCAAGGGTAAAGGCAGATCTGCTTACACAGTAAAGCAAAGCCTTCTTGCCCTTAGCATCGCTTCCTTCTTTTTATTTTTTTTGGATGCAGCTTTGGGGAGAAGCTAAGTCTGGGGGGGGGAGCTCTCCGCTGCCTGGCCCAGCGCCATGGGCTGCAGGATGCTCTTCACTGACGGCATCAACCCTATTCCCTTCTTTTTGTGCACCAGGTCGGTGCCTGGCCTGTGGCACCCTCCCCTCACCGATGTGCTCCTCACGCTGCTCCCTGGCTACTCTGCAGACCAGCCCCCCCGCAGCCCTGTCCCCAGGCCCTCGCTCTCCCCTCTCCCACTCTCCCTGCCCACAGCACCCCTCAGTCCGGCCTCGCCCCTTCGCTGCCGGTCTCTCAGCACCAACCCAGCGTGCTGGGAAAAGCCGCAGCGTAAAGGTAATCTGAGGGGCAGGGGGGCAGGGACGCACTGCCTGTGCCTTTCCTTTCGGAGTGCAGAGGAAGAAAGCAAAGGGGTGGTTTCATTTTTAAACTGCAGATTAACGGCAGCAGAGCGGTATTTACAGTGTGTGCTGCTTTGGGTGGCAAAGCTGGTTTAAAACATTCCTGCCCTTCCTTTCCCTCTACTTTCCTTCCTGCTCCCCCTTTCCGTGCCCAGGGCAGAGTGGCTGGTGCGAGGCAGTCACTTGAACCACGCTAAACCTTGCTCTGTCCACTTGTGATGAGTATTTTTTGACTATTCGCTATTTTTTCTTTTGTGATAGTGATGAAATCTATCTTGCTGGCCTGGCACTAGGTCACGAAAACAGAGTTTGCCCCATGGATGCTCCTTCCCAGGTGGCAGCGTTAGTCCCAGGTATTCAATGCGCAACGTCTCAGCCTGCGAACATTACCCTGGACTTCAGTACTGTGTAGGATACGCGGAGCTCTGAAGAGCTGCCCCTCAGCAGCGCTGAGGCCTGTCCCATCGCTCGTGGTGCCGCAGTGGGGGGGTTGGCAGCACAGCCCCCAGCCCATGCACGGGTGGGTTACATTTAACCAGAGCCTGCCCTTGCACTTGTTTTCTGGATGCATGCACCCTCCTCTCCTGCTAGGGCAGATCTAGCGGAATCAAGTGGGAAGACAGGGCACGGATTTTATTTATTTGTGGTTTTGGGTTTTTTAGCCCACCTGATCAGCGCCGGTGCCGCCGATGTGCCGCTTGCTGCACTCCTGAAATATCCCGGTTTCGAGATATTTTTAGTGTGGTCTGCTGCATTTCTTCAGTGCTGCTGGGAGGAGGAGGGGGAACCATAAAGTTCTCAAAGGAGACCTGTTTATACTGAGCAAATAAGAGCTTCTGTTTATAGAGGCAAAAACAAATTAAAAAAAAAATCCGGAAGGATGGGCCCATGGCACTTTTCCAATGAGAAGAGCAAGTCAAAACAATGAACACCATTTGTTTTTGCTTTCCCCTGGCAAGCTTCCTTCAGCTGACTATTGCATGACCTGTTCAGGGCAAAAAGACAAGAAAAAAATAAAAAAGAAAAATAACCAAGCAGGCAGTAGCAATTGCTCTGGCTTCTCTCTCCTGCCGGTGGCTGCAGCCCTGCCGTAGCCTGTGTGGGTTTAAAGCTGCAGCTGTCAGCTGGGGTAACCCCAACCCCAGCTCCAGAGGAAAGCAGATGATGGGGTTGGGGGAGAAGTTTGGGGGGAAAAAAACCCCAAACCTAAAGCAAAATGTGTGTTGTGAAGTAACAACACTGGGTTTTATCCAGCTCCCTTTCCAGCCAAAAGCTCAGGGCTCCCCTGCTTTTCCAGCCAGGCTCTGCTGGACCTCACAGCCCCAGTCCTCTGGCAAGAAGTCAGAGGTCTGGGCGAGCTCCTGTGTGCTCCCAGCTGCTCTCCTGCAGGCACCCAGGACAGATGCCTACTTGCACACCCCAAGGAATGGGCGTTTAATTTCATTTCCTCAGACTAAACTCCCATTTCCCTTGGGCTCCCACCAGTTTCCCATCTGTTTAACACTACCGGCATGGAGCGAGAGCTCCTTGTGGCACTCCCCGCCCTGGGTCAACACCAGGATATTAAATCAACATACCTTCTGCGGCCGTCACTGCGGCTCCAGCTCCTATTTTTATAGCCATGCTTTGACCGATAAGGCTCTATTAATAAATCAATCAGGCAGCACCACTTGCGCTTGCAGGAGCAAGCCCCCGTTCGGTCTGACAGTGGGGGGCTCAGCAAGGAAACAATGAACTCTACTCAGAGCATCATATATGCACAATAGTTTTATTTTGTTTTTTTATATAAAAAAAAAATCCTAAAGACTGCAGAACTCTTGTATCCTAATTTCTTATACAAATGCTTCCAAAACCCTCTTCTTTTTAAGCTAATTCCCCCCTAACAACTTGCGATGGCATGGGCTCCCCTGGTTTTTGACCTAGTCACCCTTTCTAATGGGATATGTCTAAAGCTGCAATATGGCACTTGGTTGACTTAGTTGGCAGGTTTAATATATCCAGAAAGCTGGGGTATGGAGTTGCGCATGGCTCGGAGTCCATCAGCACAGGCGGGGAGCCTGCCTTCGTGTCCGTGCCTCCAGAATGAACCAGACTTTTCTCCTTACTGTGCAAATAACAGGCTTTGGTCATCGACCAGTCCTGTCGTAAGGGATCCTTGCCCCTGAAGAGGATCCCATCTTCAAGTGGGGAAGCAGCACATACAGTCAAGCAATTGTCCACAGCAGTCCCAGGCGCCGAGACCCCATCAGTCAACTGTACCGTTGTAAGACTTGTTGAGCTTGTTGAACGTGAACTCTACGTTATGCGTGGAAATAGGCTTTCGGTAGAGAGGATTGGATGCCTTTGGAGAAATGAGTGGATGAAAAGAACAAAGGTGAGGAACAAAGTCCACGTCATGGTGAAAATGTGTATAATCCTCCTTCCTGTGCCAATTAATTTGGAGAGAGTGCTGCATTTGGCTTTGACTGAAATGTGCGTTCAGATCCGAAAGTGGTGTTATTTGTCGATCAGACCCACATTCCGTCCTGTCTGCAGGCACAGGTAATGCCCTCAAATGCTGGGCAAACCCATCTGAACAGGAAGCCTCCCAGCAGAGCTGATCTGACCAACCTCCATTTGGAGCTTGGTCACCACTCCCCCACCTCCTTCAGCCCTCCAGCACTGCTGGGAAATACATGATGAAACCACTGGCTGGGCATAATTTCACAGAATATTTGTAACTTACCAAGTGGAAAGGCAGTGCAACGTGCCGGACCCTGATGCCCTGCTGCGTGGCCCTGCAGGACATGGGCATCTGCATCCCTTGTGCCCACCTCCCTTCTCCATCGCTGCAGAGCTGTTTGCTGCAGGCGCATCCTGACAGCCCGCCCCGTACCCCAGCAGCACCCCTGCACCGGGGCTCACCATTTCGTATCTGGCCCGGGAGCGTTCGCTCTGGAATCGGTCGAATTCCCGTCTGTCATGAATGGTGACGAGCAGCTTCCAGAGCCCCAGCAGGATGATGCCGATCAGCACCACGCTGCCGATCACCGCCAGCACGATGGTCACGGCGCTGGGGGCTGAGCTGCATGCTGGTAATGATGGGGGAGAAGGTAATTAGCTCTGGTGCGAGTGTATCCTGGATAAGGATACTGGGATGTAATGACCTGGACTACAGCCACTGAGCAGGTGACCTCAGGGCAGCACTAGCAGCAGTGACTAAATTAAAAAAAGCAACAGTCCTCTCTGAAAGCAAAGGGATTTTATTTTAATTAAATAAATTCCTGGCTACAGGCAGGTCAAAGGCACAGCTCTCATGGACGTCACCAGGGCCAGGATGTCACGTAGCGCTTCGGAGGAAGAGCTGTGCTACCGTGCTGCCGTGCTACAGTGCTGCCGTGCTACAGTGACACCTGGTTTTAATGTTGGGTGACCCACGTGGACACAGAGGGTTAAGGTGCCTCTGGCAAAAGCCAGCACAGTTTCTGGCCCACATGGAGGCAGGTGATCACTAAGTACTTTAAAAAAGTACATTAACTGTCAATAATCAACTGGTCTTTCAATTAAGTGCAAGCTGCTGCACAAATAAAATAAAACATGCAGTCTCTCAGTCTTTCCCATACCGGCCTGTGCCTTGGAGGAGCAGAGCAGTTCACCAGAAGTTACTGCTGGGTGCTTGCCAGCTCACCCTGCAATACCACGTGGGATTTTCTTTGAGAAACTGCATTGCACGTGATTAAAATAATGCTGGGAAACACAGCTGTCTGCTGCAGCCCTGGGGAGGGCAGCAGGGACACACAGCCCTTACGCTGCCTGTCCCACAAATTTCTGCTCTTTGGAAATGCGGAAATCCATAGGTGGTGTAGGGCTTTCCTAACATCCTGACTTAACGATCGGCACCCCTAAGTGTCCCCTTCTGATTTTTTTTTGCTCCCAGTGGCTGTATCGGGACATGGCATGCTTTTTGCTGCATAAATAGGCTGGGTTTAACTTCAGCACCCCATGCTGGCAGAAAGCCCTCCGCTTGCTAGCAACACGGGCAGCTCAGGTACATGTTTTGCTCCCAGTTCTGTTTTACTGAATTGGGAGCATTTGGAGCTGAGTTTCAGCACTGTAAAACAGACTATTTTTTTAAATCATCCTGGTTCATCAGTTTGCACGTGCTTTTGAGCAGCCAGTGAAACCAGCCACTTTGGAACCCGCCAGGCTCCCCAGCAGCCCATCACCTCTCCCAAGGCAACTTGTGCTATTGAAAAGAAACCCAAGGGAGGGCCAACCTGGCTCTTTGAGGACGGTGAGGTTGGATTTCCCACTGGCAAGCTCCGAGTAGGTGAACTTCATGACGCAGTTGTTCACTGGGTAGGCACAGAGAATCGCGTTTGGGTCATCCGTTTCTGTAATGAGATGCAGAGTTGCAGAATTTTATTTTGTCTTTTACACATAAACAAAATTCCTAAAGACTGCAGAACTCTTGTATCCTTATTTCTTACACAAATGCTTCCAAAACCCTCTTCTTTTTAAGCTAATTCTTCCCTAACTACTTGTGATGGCATGGGCTCTCCTGATCTTTGACCTCGCCACCTTTTCTAACAGGGTAAGTCTAAAGCTGCAATATGACACTTCGTTGACTTAGTTGGCAGGTTTAGTATTAGGAATTAGCACAATTCTCCCCTGCAAGCTGAGCAGGGCTTCCCATAGGTGCCTGGGAACACAGGAACAGGGAGCGAGCCTGGAAAGCAGCACAGTTTGATCACAATTTGTGCAAATTGTAACTAAGCAGCATCCAGACTTACTGCTCAAGACAATGTGGCACTCAGCAAACGTTGTATGGCAAAAGAGGCAACCTCACACATACACACGCTAACAAGTCGGCTTTGGCAATAAATGCCATTTTTTTCTTAATTTGCTAAATTTCTTGAAGTGTGGAAGCTGAAGAGAAAGCGAGGGGCAGAGACTCAGCCTGTGAGGACACGAGTGGGGCCAGCAGCAGCAGCAGCCCATGGCTAGCTCGTGCTCCAGCTGTGCTGAACGGCTCCAGCTCTGGAAATGGTTGAGAAGTTTGTTTTTAAAGGGTGAGAGAGATAGAAGAGCAAAATGGGGAGGAGGGAACGAGGGGGAAGGGAGAAGCTAGTTGGAGAGGAGGATGTGGAGATGGGGGAGTTGCAAGAAATGAGGCTACTAGATTCCCATGGCCATACGGATGCTCTTTGCCTGATTAACACACCATAGCACCAGGCAGAGCTTGTTGCTGCTCTGGTCACTGTGAGATGCTTCCTGAGGAAGGCTGCTTCACAAAGGCCATTACAAAGTTTCAGCAAAGCCATCATCTGAGGTTTGCAGCTCTAGCTTCAGGGGTGATTTCAGCAGAGCCACCACCCTTGCACAGCCACAGCTTGTAGCGTGTCCCCGCTGCAGTGCCTGGGAGGAGACGCGGCAACATCTCCAGCCATGCCAGGTAGCTCTGCAGGAGCACATCTCTGAGGCCTGCATGGCCTGAGAGTTTCAAGGGAGAGGAAGGGATCTGGGCACCCAGTGCTATTGGCTGGCAAAGATGTGACCTTAGTTTAAACACCTGGAAAATACTTCCCACAGCTCTCCTCCTCACTCGTATACATGCCTCTCTATCATGCTGAAAAATTACTGTTTTCGTGACCACTGCTATTCCAGCCCCTCATCTCTCTCCTGTCTGTCTTTCCTTTCAATGCCTTTGGTTTGCTTTCAGTTGAAAGATTAATACCCTCCATTTCAACTGCTCTGAGCCCAGATGCAACTGCCCCTCTGGTGAGTTCCTGGTGTGGACAAACCTCATCTGATCCTACCTCAGGACAGGAGAACCTGCTCTGCCTACACAGTGGTATCAAAGGCAGGGCTGGAGAAATGCTGATTGTTACAAAGTGAAGAACTAACTAGATTAATATTGATAAAACTTCCATGCTTCTTGACTAATGCCCTTCTGAGTTGAGCAGCAAATCTTAGTTCCTCCAGGCCCAGTTGCTTTCAATCCCATCCTTGCACCATTATTCTGCTAATAGAGATTGTGATTAAAGACTTGGTAGTAATGATCTCTGTTGGTCTTCACTAGATTTCACATCCACAGAGAGAGGCATGAGGGCTCCATCAAGCTCCACTGATCAAGGTCCGCTGATGTGTGCTGTTGGCAGGTTCAGCTCAGTACTGGACCAGTCATGCTCCTCTCTGGAACCATCAGGAATGGAAATGTAATATTGCAGAAGCGAAGGCGATCCTGCAGAATCCAATGCAAGTCATATAAGAGTCCCAAAAGGCATCATTCTGGCTAATCAGTCCTATGATAGATGCCTCGGCTCTGCAAAGCTTTTAAGCACTGGCTGCTTCACACCTAGACCTAAAAGGCACATGGGATCTTTCAGGGTGTGTTCATTGCAACTCGATATTTAGGAAGGTCCCACCCTCCACTGCCAGGACAATGCAGACCTATGTCTTCTCTGACAAATATCAGCATTCAGCCTCTCAGCAGGGATTTTTAACATGTGCTACGTTCCACAAAAGCACTTGAACACCAGGATTTGGCTGAGTCTGCCTGTAAAGAAGTCTGTAGTCCCTAAGCACTTTCTCTAGGAATA